ATGTGTTCCTTTCCCATCCTTCTAATTATCAGACATAGCAGTCCCTCTTGGCCACATTTGCCTATACTCATCTAAAAATGAGTCCACCTTGGCCACCTCCTCATCCAAGCAAGGCCCTGCATGCTCTTGTGCAGTTGAATTCAATACGGTGGATATCATTGGCTGAATAATATCCACTATTTGTTGCATTGAATGGGATGACGCGTCGTAGAACCACTTCGCAATTGCCTTCTGTATGTTTTTCTGAACTACTTTCCCTCATGTGGATTCAAGGGTCTTCTATTTTCCTGGGGCTTATAAAGAAGGTCAACATGACCGTGCGTAGGTTCATTAGGCTGTGTGTATTGGGGATGGGAAGTAGTAGAACATCTTCTCCTCTCAACAAAGGTGCAGGACCTGAATAGTCCTGGCGTATGCTCTACCATGCCGGGCACTGCTAGCCTAGGAGGAACTGGACGATTACTGGAAATTCCCAACAATCTAGTACACATCCCTCCTAGACTGGAACTCCTTGGCCTCAAAATGTTCCTCCTCTTCCTCTTGAGAAGGTGCATAATACTCTCTTCATATTTTCTCAACCACCTGTTGTCTGTACCGTTGTTTGCTTTGTTGCCTAAATAGATTGTACCATCTGCTGACAATCAAGGCTGCACATCACCCCATATTTTGTTGAGGTGATGATTTAGGTTTAATAATGACTGGCATCTCCTTCCAACAATATTCACACTTCACCCACCCCTAACTCTGCTCTGCCCGCTTCACCCCATGCTGCCACCCTAGATAATCTCGGATTTGCTATTTGTAAGCCTACAAAAGCAATCGATGCTAAAAGCATTAATACCTAAGCATATTATTTTTATATACAACAAAATATGAAAAGAGAGTCAAATTACAGTGTTTAAAATGTTTTGTACACATCAAAAACGTTAAATTATATATTAAATTTATTCTTTTATATATATCCAAATATGTTTTATTCTTTTATACATATTAAAATATGTTTTTCAAGTAGAAATGTTGCTTTGGAAACATTCTTAAGTTTACTAGAGTCATTGAGAAACTTTGAGATATATCCTATTAGTATTATTAAGTTAAAAGAAAAATCCCTTAGCAAAATTAAGTAAATACATCTATAAGACACATTTTTCTGTGCATCACAATATGAAAAAAAATTCATTGAGTTTTTAAGAGAAAATATTACTTTTGAAACATTCAAAGCATGTTAGATTCTTAAAAAACCAGAAAATGTCTATTCCTTGTCATCATTAAAAAGAAAAAAGCAAAAAAAAAAAAGAAAAAAGCAAAAAAAGAAAAAGAAAAAA